GCCGTCACATATGGCGCCGTCACCGTCATGCAGGTTCGTCCTCTGATGTTCGCCATGCGCCAGCAAGTCCAGCTGATACCGCTGAGCTTCATTTATCATAAAAAAGTTATTTTGGTTTTGATTTATTATGATAAATTTAAATTATTGATGTTAAATTAAGAAGGAAAAACAATTCAGTATGATGGAAAATGTTATTTTCACTGCGGTTTGTTACACAAAATTATCAATAAATGTCAGTAAACTATAAAATATGATTAAATGCAGTTACTATGCGTACTTTAGTGATATAAATCAGGGATGCACCGATCTTTTTTTTTTTTTTTCCACTTCCGTTATCTGAGATTTAGTAGAACTAGAAACTGTACCAAAAGGACTTGGTAAGATTTTGTTTTTGCAGTGTATAGATTTTAGATTATATTGTAAAAAGCAATAAAAAAAAAAAGCTTTTTTTTTTTTTTTTTTTTTTTTTTTGGGCGCCCCCAAAACTGGGCACCCTGGGCGACTGCCGTGCCTCAGCTTTTAAAACAAGGTATTTCTCAGTAAATATGTGTTGTTTTGATGATTTTAGTGTTTTTTGATGTGCAGGTGGTGGGCCATAAGGAGGGCCTGGACGTGATGGAGCGAGCCGACCCGCTCTTCCTGCTCATCGGCCTGCCCACCATCCCCGTCATGCTGATCCTGGGGAAGATGATCCGCTGGGAGGACTACGTCCTGCGGCTGTGGAGGAAGTACTCCAACAAGCTGCAGATCTTCAACAGCATCTTCCCAGGTCGGTCGTTCGGTTTCTGACGTCAGACGTTTGTTGCTTTTCATCCGCTGACGGCACGAATGTCGGAACCGCAGGTATCGGCTGCCCGGTGCCGCGGATCCCAGCCGAGGCCAGCCCTCTGGCCGACCACGTCTCCGCCACGCGGATCCTGTGCGGCGCTCTGGTCTTCCCCACCATCGCCACCATCGTGGGGAAACTCATGTTCAGCAGCGTCAACTCCAACCTGCAGAGGACCATCCTGGTGGGTGCTAATGGGGCTACCGATGCTAATGGGGCTACCGATGCTAACGGGGCTACCGATGCTAACGGGGCTACCGGTGCTAACGGGGCTACCGGTGCTAACGGGGCTACTGGTGCCAACGGGGCTACTGGTTCCAACGGGGCTACCGGTGCCAATGGGGCTACTCATGGTAACAGTAGCTGTGATGCTCTCTGGATGCTATCTCTGATGCTACATTCATTCCTTCCTTGTCTCCTTAGTTCCAGTCGTAACGTAACTTTTAAGTTTTCCAAATTCATAAGTATTTTTGAGTTCCTTCTGGAAAGTTAAATCCCTTTTTGTAACTCAAATTATTCAGGATTCTTCAGAGTTGTTGTTGATGCTGTGGGCAGGAAGGTCCTCCTTTAGCAGTCTGTGTCACAGCGGCTTTGAAGAAGCCTCTGACTGAAGACATGCTGACTGCCGTCTTTAAAGCCTGCCTGCTTTCTGGCTCTCCCCCCAGGGCGGCATCGCCTTCGTGGCCATCAAAGGGGCGTTCAAGGTCTACTTCAAGCAGCAGCAGTACCTGCGCCAAGCCCACCGCAAGATCCTGAACTTCCCCGAGCCGGAAGAGGCCTGAGGCGGCGCTCTGCTGTCGGTGAGGATGAACCCCCCCAACACTCAGCTTCACCCTTACTGCAACAAGCCCCGCCCCCTCCCAGCGGTTGCTACAGAGACCGACTGCGTCGCCGCTTCCCGACCCTGGAGCGACGGGATGGGAAGCGAACTGGAGCCTGCTTGCAGTCAGTGTGTGGCTACGCTAACACCACACGGCTAACACACCCACTGCTAACTGAAATAAAGACGCAGGGCATGCGTGAAGAAGAACTTTTTTTTCTTTTCTTTTTTTTTTTTAAATAAAACGATTGTTTTGGTTTGACGTCCCTCCCGCCCTTGCCGGGGTCCAATCAGATGATCAATTAATCAATAATTTATCACGTTTGGAAGCTAGCAGGAAGAAAAACACAAAGCAGAAGCTGCCAGAGGCTTTGTAACATAGAAATCTATATTTTAGCTTGAGATGTTCCAGTGTTTATTTATTCAGCCTGCAGCTTTGATTACTTCTGAACTCTGTAAAAGTGTTGGCACCAGTCATGGCGGTCCGGTCCGACCCAGAGGGGATGAACCCAGCGGGACGTGGAGCGGTTCTGTTCTGGTTCAGGTCGGGACGGGTTGGCAGAAGTCTTCACAAACTCTTAGCTTCTCCCACAAACTTCAATATGTTTTGTTGGACAAACCAATGAAAGCTGAAAATGATGCATGCATTAAAAAAATAAAATAAAATCGGGTTTAGTTCTGGACTTTGACTAGGCTGTCCTTCATATAAACTTTGCCAAATTGAAACTACATCTGTGCCACAAATTTCAGTTTTTCTAGTTTTATCTGCTTAACATTTTTAATGAAATCTCTAAAACATTAAAGATCTTAAACCTTCAGATTGCCATTAATTCTAAAAAAAAATTTGAGTAAAATATTTTCTATTTTATTGGCCAAATTTTTACCATTCTTGAATTGTGGCCAATTAAAAATCATTTCAAGGGCCACATATGGCCCACACCCCACACTTTGGACACCCCTGATCTAAATCTCCTATAGCTCTGGCTTTGTCCTTTTTCCCTGTTCAACTCTAACGTTCCCACAGTATTTTTCTGCCACCACTGTGTTTCAATGTGAGAATTATGGTGTTTAGAATAAATAAGTCAAAGATTACAAAAGTTTAATTTTGGGTCTCATTTTTTATTTACTTCCCTAAAAACTTCATTTTGTACTAAAATAAAAGTTAAAACTTTGCATCATTTTCCTTCCACAATTTGTTGCAATAAAATACATTAAAGTTTGTGGTTGAAATGTGAAAAAATGTGAAACATTTCAAGTGTTATAAAAGCAAATTAACTGAGGGTGAAAGCTGGACTGTTTAATCACTTTAGTAGTAAAAATAACCATTAAGCAAACAGACAAATTATCTTAAACCTGTTTTTAATGCGTTTTCAGGAAAAACTAAGAAATTTTTTTGTTAAAGTTTCATGTCTCTGGAATGAAAAATTGAATTTTCAGTAATTCTAAATCTACATTCTAAAGTTTGGAAAATTTGGATTTTAATAAAGAAAACAATTATCCAGCCAAAAAATAAAAGTAATTTCTAAAGCAGTTAGCTGTTTCTATTCTGATATCCAAACATTAGTGGAAAGTTTAGTGGAAGGAAAAAGTCAGATGCTACACCCAAAAGTGACCAGCTTTTATCATAACCTGGAAAACATTTACTCCACAAAAACTCTTGAAATATTTCAGCTCTGTTAGTTTCTGGTTTTGAAATAATTATGTCAAACTGCCTGCAAACTACAGCTTCTCACTACATTTATCATGAAGTCTCTGCCAAAAACAAACAAAATAAAATGTTGTGAACTTTGACCTGTGGAGCTGTACCGTATCATATCTGTGAATAAATGTATTTTTGCAAATGAGGAAATCGAGTGCAGCGGTTTTGCCATTCACTTGTTTATTAATTATTTAGAAACACACACACACAAAAAAAAAAACATTAAATCTTCAAACCTAAAATTATCTGCCCGGAAACCCAACCAGCCAATCAGAGCCGAGCGTTGACATTCAAAAACATCTAAGTAGAAACCACTCTAAATACTTCACAATGTGCCCCTACTGCCCAAGCCTGATATGTAATGTCATTAATATTTTCCTCTGCTGCGCTGAAATCTGCTGCCGCCGCCATCTTTGGGTTCGACCACGAAGGAACAAAATAATTCGAGACGAAGTGAAATGTCGAAGATTTGATGCAGAACAGTCAAAAACATTCAAAGCTCATTTAATCCTGGACGAAGCGCTGACTGAAACCAAGAAATAAAAAATAAAGTCGGGACAAAGTGCAGCAAGCACCTGAGAGAGAGAGAGAGAGAGACGCCGCTCTCACCTTCAACAATCGCGTTTATTGCTTGGTGAGAGAAGTGCATATTTTTCAGGAAATACTTCTTAAAACCAGAGCCGTTTACTTTCAGCTCCGTCTGACATCAAAGTGACGCGTTTGGAAAGAAAGGGAAGAAAAATGCATGAGTTGACCGACGTAAAGGCGCACGCACACACCAACGGACGCACAGTGCAGGGATCGCCATGGAAACGTCTCGGGGTTTGCGACTAAACGTGTTTTTAAAAAAAGAGACAGCATGGATTTACCCCTGAGGTGTTTCAATCATAAAACCCTAAAAACGACGCATGATTGAGCGGCTAAAAACGGCTCCGCAAAACCTGAGAGGAGTCGGCCGACCTTAAAAAAAAAATAATCAGATGAAACTCGAGTCAAACATTTTGGTTTGTGCTGCTATCGTTTTAAAAGATTACATTTCCAGAGGTCAAAGGTCAACTAAGTCGCCCTTCCTCACGTTTACAAAATCAAATGAAGTTGGTGTCAAACGTTTGTGCTGCTGTCATTTAAAAGATGTTTCCAGAGGTCAGAGGTCAAAGAGCGCCACAACATTTACAAAAATCTAATTTTGTGCCGGTTAGGTGGTGTGCTGCAAAAATGTTTAGCTGCACAAACAAAAACCAATTTATCGATGTTGTTTTTGTCAATGTGATGGAGGGCAGATTGATCTCTGGAAACTTGTTTTACAGTCTTAAGAATTATAGCAGCACAAATTAAACATTCTGCAGCACAAACAGCACAATTAATATTTTGTAAATGTGGGGAGTGGCGCACATCCTCTGGAAACCTTTTTTTTTAAATCTTAATTATAGCAGCACAATTTCTGCAGCACAAATAAAAAATAATTAACTTTGTGGCTAACCTTTGACCTTTGAAACATTAGCAGCTTTAAAATTGTTGCTGCACAAACCAGCAGAAATGTTTTTAAAAATGCATCAAATGCATCAGTTTTGGGCGGCTGGGAGCAAAGTGACCTCTGGAAACATTTTTTTTTTAAAATATTTTAAAAATCATAACGGCACAAATGAAACTTTTTGCAGCACAAACATTAAAATTATATACATTTTGTTTGAGTTGTAAAAATGGGAGGAAGATCAAGTTGATCTGCCATCAGGAAACTTTTAAGATTATACCTCCACAAAAATCTTTGAACATTTTTGCTGTGTAAATGTAGCACAGTTGATTCATTTCATTTAATTTAATGTTGTACATGTAGGTTGACCCTTGACCTCTGGAAACAATATCTTCAAAATGAAAGCAGCACAAAGTAACATTTTTAAAATTTTTGATTTTAATGTGAAGAGAGGATCCAGTTGAGTCTGGAGACTTTAAAAAATGTACAAATTACATAAATTACAGCTGAAAAGAGATTCTGAACTGTAATTTATGTGGTGGTGGGATCCATTAACCTTTGACCTCTGGAAACATTCATTTAAAATGAAAGCAGCACAAACAATGTTAGCAGCAGAAACATAAAAACTGTATTTTACATAACTTTTGTTCAAATGTAAGGAGGAGCAAGCTGATCTCTGATGTCCAAATTTTATAACTTACAGTGGAAAAGAGATTTTGTAAATATTTACTAATATCTTTGAAACGATGGCAGCACAAACGTTTGAGGCCAATTTAGTTGGATTTGAGTTGCAGTGCCGACTTCACTCAGGTCTCCTCAGAGGGCGCCAACAGATAAAACTCCCTCACCAAGCAAGCTTTAAAAACTACAGAATAAGGCTTCGTAAAATGCGTACATTTGAATAAAACGTGGGAGTGCCTTGGTAGGTAGAGCTACTGACTTGGACTGGGAAGCACCCCCTAGTGGTGAAGTGAAGCTCCTGCATAAAGTTTCTGGTTAACGTGGTTCTACTTCGCCTACGCAGCGCTGCAGCGAGAGAGTGAGGTGAGACCGCTATGGTTGTCACAGCTAGTTTAAAAAACGACCACAGCTAACTTTGGGGGTTCTTCGCTTACTGAGCATCTCTTCTTCCGGTGCATTGGCGTGTCGCCTGCACACATTCCACACACACACGGTCAGGGGAACCTCAGGAAGGCGAAGCTTCTTCGGCCTCGCTCACAGTTTGGCGGCCATGAAGTTGATGTGAGGCTTCACCAGCGGGAACAGCGGCAGGCTCCTCTTGAACTCCGTCATGTCCTGAATCAACGTCGGCTGAAAAGAAGAAAAACAAAAAAACAAAAAACGTTTGATGTGGGAACAAAAATAAAAATAGCTTAAGGTTGTTTTCACACCTGATGGTCCGGTAGATTTTATTCAACTTTTGTTACATTTTTAGAAAAACTTATTCCCCTCCTGCACTGTGGGGGCGTTGCACCAAAAACCACTGAAGGAAACGACATGAAAACCTCTGAAAGACACCGAGTGCAACTTTCTTCTTCACGAAATGCAAGCAAAAATGTAGTGGCGTCAGATTTAAGAGGTTGTAGGATTTCTCTTGTCGTTTGTAAAATACCACGATTCATTTCTACCGCTAAACCTTTGTTTTTTTGGTTTCATTTACCCAGAATGCCCTGCGTCGTAGTCCACTTCCTGCTTTCATACCTCCCCAAACGAAACAGACTTTCCAGACAAACGGACTGGAATTTGATTAATATAGAAAGTTACACGCAAAAAAATAAATAAATAAAAAATGTTGTCAGAGTTTTTTGGTATTTAGCTAATAGAAATAATTTTGCTAATTCTAATTAGCCTGGATCCAGAAAAGGTTAGTCTGTTTTATTTTCAGTGGAAAAATAAAAGTTATTCTCTGAGAACCAGAGGTGTCGTTTACCTGAGGCAGGGACGGAGCGGGGGCCAGGTTGACGTCGTTCTGGGCAGGAAACTCTCCGACTATCGGACCTGTTGCACAGAAACGAAACGTCAAGGCGACCGAAGCCGACAGGGATGGAAAAGAAAAGCAGGAAATCCTCCAGAGACTCACAGGAGTCCATCTCTCTGGACAGAACGTGAACGGATACTTTGTGTCTCTTTGCAGCTTCCACTGTGAGCCGCTCCTGCAAACAGAGCATCAACTTTTTTAATTACAAAAAACATTAAATGCATATATAAAATTACTGAAAAAAATACGGAAAATTCAGTTTGAACTGATTTGGGATAAATTTGCCAACATAAAGTGAAACCACTGTCAAATAACTTTCAGTTACAGCTTAACTATTTTATAATACTTAGTTGATTTTTTCTTTTTAAAATAACCTTTAGTGATTCTACTCTGTTTTAGAGTGTAATCACTGAGAAAATGAGTGATTAACACTTTACTGGTGTAATTAAATTTTCTGGAGCCGTCACTGCGTGGAGTTTATCCATTTATAAATAATTTATTTTAAATGTTTTTCAAGCGACAGATCTACAACTTGTTCTGCTGAACAAGTTGTAGATCACGTAAAATAAGCATTTAAATGAATATATATATATATATATATATATATATAAACAAATAACAGTAAATAAAGACCTAAACTAGGGTAAATACAGAAGTGTAAAAAGTGCTTGAAGGATTTATTTCCCTCTCTGGTTTAAAATGCCTGAGTTTAAATTTAAACCAATTATGTTACTCACTCTGTAAAACTGCATTATGTTTTCTTTAGTCAATGTCTTCAGATGAGCAACTTCAATGTTATCTGAAAGGCAAACAGAAGTTTAAACATAATTAGCTTGAAGCATTTAGAACTGCATAAAGCAGCAAACCTGCAGAAAAACTGTTTATCCAACAGTGTGACTGTTTTAACTGAGTCATGAAAACTCAGTTAAAACACATTAAAAACAAAAACTTTCATGTTTTTTAGTGGTTTTAT